ATTATTATTATTTACTGCTGGTAATTACTTGTGTTAGTCTAGTCTAATGTTCAGAGTCCCCACTGTGCTGTGCATTGCACAGACACAAAGTAAGAGTGCACTGACCTTAAAGAGCTTATCATTTAAGTAGGTGAGAGACAGAAGGTGAAGTGGGGGAGAACACATATTACCATCCCTATTTTATAGGGGGGCTATAGACTTGCCTACGGTCACATACAAAGCCTGTGGTACAGCCAGGAACCGATCCCAGCTCTGTTAACCTGGTGTCATCTTTCCTCTTTTTAGCAAGCCACACTCACTTTGCCACAGGAAAGATGGTTCTGGAGGGACGGGGAAGGCAAATACTGTGAGATTCATTTAATTTAATTTCCCCCAAAGCATTTCCTCACATGGAAAGAGGCTGGCAAGTTGTGGATGTTGAACAGCACAGTTGCCTATGCAGCTGCCCAGCTACTCTTTCTGTCTGAAGCTATGGAGGGATGACTCTGCTCCCGTCATGCTGGATAGCCCACTTTGAAGGAGACAGTGCCCTGCAGGGCAACACCTTCCATACCTGACCTCCATCTAGGGACAGTACTTAGGAAGGAGAGAGTAATCTAAAAGGGCAGAGTCAGGTATGGCAGTATCACTGGAACATGGTCCCTCTGGGATAGTTGCCAGGATCTGGATTTGAACCCAGGATCACAGGATCTAAAATGTGCGAGTTACTCTTGCCTGAGCTGAAAGGCCCTGTAACCTCATCCCATGCAGTAAGCAAGGGAGCCAGGGTCCTGTCTGCTCATTGCTTCCCTGCAGCACCTGGTCTAGGTGAGGAGAAACCCCTGGAGCTGCCCCTGGCAGAGCAAGGGAATGGGAAGAGGAGACCATGTTCCCCACCCTTGTCTCATTCCCAGGAGGACAGGGGTAGGCAGCACTGAAGGAGGGGCTGCCTGGCAGGAAGATGTGGAGCATGGCATGGGGGCAAGGTGCACTTAGGTGCTGGGGCTGCAGTGTTAGCAGCTGGGCTGAAGACAGGGGTAGGAGGCAGGATTGCAGCAGACAGGATGAGTCGGGACTGAAGGGGTGATAGGGAGGGATGTTGAATTTGGAGCAGGGGGTGCAGAGACAGAGGTGCCTCATCCCATAGAGAACCACACGCTTGTTTCTCCAGGTCAGAAGAAGCTAGACACTTCACTAACAGGCGAGGGGCCTTAGGATCATGTTATGCAGTTTCCAATGGACGCACAAAACACATAGGACTCTGTTGGCATGAGTTAAAACCAATCTACAGGACTGGGACGTAGGAGCAGGGAACGGACAGCAGAACGGCAGAACCAAGGCTGGCTGCAAGGGGCAGCATCAAGGCCATGCACAAGGAGGGAGGGTCCTTCACGGGGTGGAAGGAAGGCTTAGAAGGGACCAGGGAGAGGACAATGGACTCTCTCAGCCCTGCCTGGCTAGAGATGCTGCTGCCATGGGCAGGCTTCAAACCAGTGCCGGATTATGACATGCTGAGGCCCTAAATTATGTCTGTTTTAAGAAGCCCCATATGATAAAAATAATCCACGAAAATGGATTTTCATTAAATTTTAAGAAGAATTATTGTTATTTCTGCAAAAATCTAGAACTCCTGGTTCAGAAATGATACCTTTTATTAGACCAACTGAGGAATTGCAAAAAAAAAAAAAAAAAAATCTTTTTCTGCAAGCTTTCAGGCTCAAATGCCCTTCCTCAGGCTCAGGAAAAGTTCAAGATGGTATAAGTCCCCATAGGTAGGAAATAAACTTCATTTTTGCATAGAGGAAGCAGAAGCTGGAAATCTGTCCCTCTGGGTCTATGAGAGTGTCTTTTTGAGGTTGCTCTTTGTTGTGCAGATCCAGCAGGATTTCTTCCTGTTATTTCTGCATAAATTTATGAACTCAGTATGAATAACAACTGTGGAGACACATACAGGCAGTCCTTGGACTTGCGACACAACTGGTTCCTGAAAACCACATCTTAAGTTGAAACATCGTAACTCGGAACCGATTTTCCCATAGGAAACAATGTCAAAATGGAAGATTCGCTCCTGAACCAAAGCCCCATACCCTATATTCACCAAAAATAACCCAGAATTTTGTACTCGATCAATTATAGATGAGTCATAAAGCTACATTAATGTATTTATATTGTAAATAGCAATCATATTGATTTGGAAGGACTTCTTTGAGGTGACTTTGCCGGACCTTTCAAAGGGTGCTTGGTCGCACCTTTCAAAGTGCTCACGGCGGGACCTTTCGAAGGGCTCTTGGCAGGACTTTTTGAAGGAGGGCTGTCGGTGGGACCTTTTGAAGGGCTCTCGGTGGGACTTCTCGAAGGGCTCTCGGTTGCACCTTTCAAAGGGGAGCTCTCGGTGGGACTTTTTGAAGGGCTCTTGGTTGCATCTTTCGAAGGGCTCTCGGTTGCACCTTTTGAAGGAGGGCTCTCGGCAGGACCTTTCAAAGGGCTCTTGGTTGCACCTTTTGATGGGCTCTCAGTTTCACGTTTTGAAGGAGGGCTCTTGGTGGGACCTTTCGAAGGGCTCTTGGTGGGACTTTTGAAGGGCTCTTGGTTGCACCTTTCGAAGGAGGGCTCTCGGCGGGACCTTTCAGAGGCGTGCTCTCAGCTGCACTTTTCGGCGCGCTCTCGGCTGGAGTCTCCTCAGGAGTCTCAGCTGTCCAGTCTTTTTGAGTCTTGCCTTAGGAGCCTTGGCTCCTTCCTAGGAGTCTCGTTTTTTCTGGCGTTTCCTCCGCTTTCATAAAGAAAACACCCAACGAAATTTGGACGGACGTTCCCCGGGCAGACGGGCTTGTTCGCTGCCGTGGCGTCACCTCCGATCAAGCCCAGTTGAGTCAAAACCGCCGCCGGCCTGTTGAAACAGGGCGCATCCAAATCCATAACGCTTGTCACGTTTTTTCCCCCTCACTAATTGCAAGGCCTTAAGATGTCGCTTAACCCTAAATTGGGCTTCAAACTTTGGGTGGAGCACAAATCACAGCAGGGTGAGGGCAAATGCACTGTGGATCTCACTAGGGGGGGAGGCCAGACTCATGCGATGGTGGGGGGCAAAAGTGAGTGCCCCCCCGCCTTCAAAGTGAGTGTCTGTGTGGTGGGAGGGCGGAAGGACCCAGGAGAAGTTCTGAGGGAGGAGGGTGCCCCGCCCCTTTGCCCCCTCAGAGGGCGTGGCGGGACTACAAGTCCCAGCATGCCCTGCTCCGCCCTGCCCCGCCCGCGCGCAGGGCGCATGCGCGGCCAGACGTGGCAGCAGCCGGCGGCGGAGCGGGAGTGGGAGCAGGAGCGGGGAGGGTCATGGC